CTTGTTTCTTCTCTTACCTGTCCTCTTTAATTTATGGGTAAAATAGTCAAAAACAAGGATATGTTTTTGGATCTTAAACTAAAACGGAAGATGAATGCGGTCAAGGAGAAGGAGAAAGAGAGTAGAGAGTAAGCTGTGAAGAAGAAGATTCCAAAACATAGTTTTAGGGACCGGTCAACGGGTTAAGTAAACGGTTAACGGACCATTTAAGTATTTTTCGATGAAACAAGAATTAGATTCGCGTTCGGAGTGTCGAAAAGAAGTAAACTATAAATATTAGAATCCAATGGTCATTGTAGACGACGGCCGAAAGTGACTAACAACAACAATGATGAGTGATTGTCCACGATGAAAGAATTTGGTCAAATTCAGAGGTTAAAATGATGTTTTATCTAAAGTTTAAAGTTAAAAATGATGTTTTATCTAAAATTTAGAGGTCAAATTGAAAATTAACTTTTCTATTAATAAATATAATCATCAAACTAACGTGAGTTAATAATTAAGTGATCAAAATGTAATATTCGATATCATAAATGATAAAAATTTAATAAATCGAAAATATAAGTGACCGAAATGTAATTTTTTCAAAATTGATAGTTAAGAGTGAACAAAACTAAAATAAAATTGACCAGTCTGGTGGTTAACCCTAGATTAAAATAAAATCTTTCTAAAGCAAAGGCAAACCATCGTAGGGGTGGCCTAGTTGGCAAAGCAAGGGCTCTTGGGATTATGAGCTGGTCTCATGTCCTAGGTTCGAACTTCGCTGGTTGGGAATCATGGAAAAAAGCGGGGGGACAGAGTGGTGGGTTCTTTGAGCCCTCCGGAGGTTGACTTGTAGGGTTGGGTTCTTTAGCTTAGCCTTGGGAGGTCATACGTTATAAAAAAAGCACAAAGCTGGGGAGTTGAATATAAGATTTTAAATTAGACGAGACATATCGTGAGTTATTTGAGTTTGATTCGGTCAAAATACTGTCAACACTCAAATTGAATGAACTCGACTCAAATTTTTAATAAGCGAAATTGAGCTACTTTATACAAGACTAAAAAAGCTCCAGAACAACTCGAAAAAATAATATATTAAAATTTTAATTTTTAAATGAAATTATTAATAATATTAACATTTAAAAGTTATTTTTTAATATAATATAAGATTTTCATGTACTGAAGATTTAAGTATGAACTCAAGTTCGAACCTAAATCGAACTCGAGTTTGAACTTCAATCGAGCTAAGTTTAAGAATGTTTCGATTTCAAAGCCGAGTTTGAAAATTTTAAGCTCGCAAACTTTGGAGTAGAATTTCAATTTTTTATTTCAAATTCGATTCAAACTTCACAATTTTAAGCTCTTAAGCTTTTAAGTTGAGTCGAACTCATTTTTAAACTTTTTGAATCTTATCCAACTCAATAATACTATAACTCGAATAAACACGTTTACAATCCTAGTTGAATCATGAGTGGAGACTGAGAACGATGCCACTTGAAGCTCGTCATTTTAGCTTTTTCCCATTGGAGCGCTGCTTTTTGAACTATGTTGTCTGCTTGGATTTTGATGTAAATGGGTAGGGGTGTTCATTCGATTAAAATGGTGACCGATCGAACTGAATTAATCATAACCGAATTAATCAAAAAAAATTCTTTAACCGTTAACCGAATCGAATTTTTTTCGAACATATTAACCGAACCGAATAAATTTCGGTTAATTTCGAATTAACCGAATTTTTTTAAAAAAATTTCTAATTTATATAAAAATTAAATATTTTTTAATTCAAAAAAAGTTTATAATTAATTTAAATAATATATAATTATAAAATAAAAATTTTAGATAAATTTTTTAATTAATTAATATTGATTTAAGTTTAAAAATTATTAGATCTTAAATTATTAATTGGGTTTTAAATGGTTTGGGCTTAGCCCATATGTTATATATAATATATTTAATATTTTTTAATTAAAAAACAGTTTACAATTAATTTAAATAATATATATTTATAAAATAAAAAATTTATATAATTTTTTAATTAATTAATATTGATTTAAGTTTAAAAGTTATTGAATCTTAAATTATTAATTGGGTTTTAAATGATTTGGGTTGAGCCCATATGTTATATATAATATATTTAATATTTAAAATTTAATTTCGGTTAATTTGGTTAATTAACCGAATTCAAACCGAATTAATCGTTAACCGAATTTTAAAAATTTTATTAACCATTAACCGACCGAACTAATTCGGTAACCGAACCGAATTAATTCGATTCGGTCAATTAACCAAATTAGTTCGATTATTTGAACACCCCTATAAATGAGAATGTTTGGGAACTTGATATGGATGTATCTATCTCACCTTCTTCTCTTTTATTCTTCTTATTTCTCTAAATATTTTTCCAAGTAAAATATTATTAAATGATTGTTTTTTGGATGTATAACTAAAATTATAAAAATGAAAGGGTGGGGGTTGAGATCATGCATCGTAATGTTGAATGGATTGTAAAAGGGGATGGCAGAGGTTGACTAATTGTTTTCCGAAGTATGCGTTGATTGCTGTAAAAGTATTAATGAGTGAAAACTTAACCCATCCTTAAGGTCCAATTATTATTGCAAAATCTGCAAGTCGGCACCTAACACAGGAACCCACTGTATCCAACTCATTATATTCATCACCACCAAACCATATAATTAAGCAAACATGAAAGAAATTTTATTATTTTTGTATTCTTTTAAAGATAATTAATTTATTATTTAAGTTTTTTTTTAGTTTTTAATATCTCTACTTTTATGATACATTTTTAATCGTTTTACCGATATTTTTGTTTATGTTTTTGAAGGTTGGATTTGACATTCGTCTCGACTGATCAAGATATAATTTATTTATATTCATGTTGATCTTTCCTGCTTTGGACTGTCGAATTGGATTTGATATACGATTTACCTTCATGAATAGTTTCTCACATTGTATTGCGATTTTGTTAGTGATCTTTCGGTAGTTTGATCTCCTTTTATGGTTCGAATTTATTAGTTGGGGTTTTAACATGTTCCTTGCATAATCCTAATATGATATCAAATGACTAGTTTCTTGTGTCAATGATTATAAAAAAATATCCTAATTATATTTAGTTTACGATTATGATTATGATTTTTTATTATAAATTTAAATATTTCTTATTTTTAATAAAACTAATTGCTTCTATAAAAAAAACATAATTAGTTAATAAATATTAGCATTGATGTTATTTTCAATGTTGAAGGAGTAGGTTTGTTATATTAATTTCTTTTTTTTTTAAAAAAAGAGCATTGATATGATATGATTTGGGCCAGACAAGTGGTACGTCAATTATAACTTCATAGGTACGACAAAGACTTACTTACCTTACTTTGACACGGTACTTGCTCTCCCCAATTTATTTTCAACGAACCCTAGGTTTCTTCGATATTAATTCTGCTCCCAATGTAAGAACTTTTTTCAATTGAATGCCTATTATTATTTTTATATATTTTAAGGTAAACTACACATTTAATACTTCAACTATTACTTGTGTTTTGACTTTGTACTTAAAATTTATTTTTTTAAAATTATACATAATGTTTAGTTTAGGTTTTATTTTTATACATTGCAGCTAAAACTTAAGAAGAGTTGGTACGTAGCATTTTTATGGGTAAATTATATTATTTACCACTCAACTATCTTCTCACTCCTATTTTGATCTCTAAAGTTTAAAAATTTTGAATTTAACTACTCAACTTTCAAATTACTCATGTTTTAATCACTCTAATTTATTTTATTAATAATTTTTATGACATGAATTTTTTTATTATTTATTAATATATAATTAAAATAAAAAATTTAAAAGTTAGAGTGTCTGAATTACGAGTAATTTGAAAGTTAAGTAATTAAATTAAAAAAAATAAACTTCAGTGACCAAAATAGGAGTTAGAAGATAGTTGAATGATGAATAATGCAATTTACCCATAGAAAAGTGTCATGTACATATGTCACGTTAAATTTTTAATGGCGAGGTACCAAAATAAACGTTAGGTGTGGTTTTGAAAAAATAAAAAATTAGGCACTAAAACAAGACAAATGTAATAGTTTAGATACAAAACATGTAGTTTACTCTATATTTTATTAGGTAAAATTTTTACAACAACCCCAAACATGTAATTTACCCCGAACATTACAACAAAGACGAGTTAATTTATTTTAAGTTAATCAGTTGAAAAGTTATATTTTATTATTCAAACATGATTTGATTTTTTTAGTCGAATCGAGTTTATTAAATTCAAGATGAGTCGAGTTAAGTTGTTCGAGTTTCTATTTAAATTTAATTATAATTATTTAAAATATTATGATCAATATTGATTATAATTTAAATGACTTCCTCTAATCATGTAAGATAATTTCTTCACATTCTTTTTCATATGTATAAGTAATATTTGTAATGTTATTTAAAAAATTAAATACTATCTAAAATTATAAAATATATTTATAATGTTAATTTTAAAGACGAGATTCTTTAGAACAAGATATTGATGAGGGTATAAAAGAGTTGAGGAATTGATTAGAAGAAAGAGTTAAAAAAATCCAATTGAATGATTAAATTAAGTAAAATGTAAAGTTAAGGGATTAAATTAAAAAATAATAAATTTATTGTTAAAAATAGTTATCAAGCTACTTACGTATTCTATAGTATTATTGGAGTATGTGGTTCAAATTTAATAAAAAAAATTAAGATGAATAACGAATTGAAGAAATGAAAAAATCATATAAAATTAAGAGTACAAATTGAAAAGAAAAACCGAAGCTACATTAATATTCTATGATAGTTTAGGTTATGTGGTTCAAATTTAATAAAAATACACATAAAATAATCAGAATACAAGAAATAAAGAAATTAAAGATTAAATCACCAAACAATGAAAAATATAACTCGAGTGAAAGAGTCCCCATTTCCTTATATATAGAGCAGTTTGGAGATGGGTTTTTATTATGTTTAGAAGGCAAAAAGAGCAAAATATAAATGGGGAAGAGTAGAGTTCTAGTGGTGGGGGCAAGTGGGTATATCGGGCGGAGGATTGTGAAGGCGAGCTTGGCCGAGGGTCATGAAACCTATGTCCTTCAACGCCCGGAGATAGGGCTTGATATCGAAAAGCTGGAGACCTTGTTGTCATTCAAGAGGCAAGGGGCTCGTCTAATTGAGGGATCGTTTAATGATCATAAAAGCTTGGTTGAGGCTGTTAAGCAAGTCGATGTTGTTATTTGCACCATGTCTGGTGTGCATTTCCGCAGTCACAATCTTCTGTTGCAGCTCAAGCTTGTGGACGCCATCAAAGAAGCTGGGAATGTTAAGGTATATACATACTTTCCCTTTTCTGTTCCAACTTAAATTTGGCTGATCTCAACACAACAGCATTCCTACAAGAACATTATCGATGTATAAATCTATATATCTCAAAATTTGTGGGTATGTACAGCGATTTTTGCCTTCAGAGTTTGGTATGGATCCAGCGCTGATGGGACATGCACTGGAACCAGGAAGAGTAACATTTGATGAGAAGATGACAGTGAGAAAGGCAATTGAAGAGGCCAACGTCCCCTTCACCTACGTTGTTGCCAACTGCTTTGCTGGTTACTTTGCTGGCAATCTTTCCCAACTCGAAAGGCTCACTCCTCCTAAAGACGAGGTTTTTCTTTATGGTGATGGAAATGTTAAAGGTACATTAATTAGTCCCTCTTAATCCATCAATCTTGGTTAATTTGTTGACGATCATCATATGTATCTATGCAGTGGTTTACATGGACGAAAACGACGTTGCCACATACACCATCAAAGCAATAGATGATCCCAGAACATTGAACAAAACATTGCACATAAGGCCACCAGATAACATTCTAACTCAATCACAGCTTATCCAGAAATGGGAGACCCTTTCTAGGAAGAAACTGCAAAAAATCAGCATTTCCGCAGATGATTTCCTAGCCTCCATGAAAGGTACGGAACTAAGGCCCCCATCAACCTTAAAACCTATTATATTATATAAGCGTTAACTGTTATGTTATTATGTTGATAATGTTTTCAGTAATTAATCGGTTATGTTATAGTCAATATTTTTTTACGCATTTTACATACGATGATAATATTCCCGGTTATTACTATTATTATTATCAACACAAATAACATTTTTAGTGAAAACATATAATATTTTCGGTAGCGTTTTTAACCGATCACTTATTTAACCAGTCACGTCATTTTTTAACCGTATATTAATCTACCTCACATCGGAACCTCTCATGTATTGATGGATGAAATGGATGGATGCGTGCAGGTCTGGACTTGGCAGGGCAGGTAGGGGTAGGGCATTTCTACCACATATTCTACGAAGGATGCTTAACAAACTTTAAAATAGGCGAAGGAGGTGAAGAAGCGTCAAAGCTTTATCCCCAAGTGGAGTACACCCGCATGGAGGATTACTTGAAAACTTATGTTTAAATTAAATGATATCACCAAAATAAATAATGGATATACCAAATCCTCGAGGATGCATATGTATTTTAAGATGGACTCGTGCTCACCTTAAAATTCAAATTTTTTATGTTAATTGTTTATTTTATTAATTATTACTATATTAAAATTTTATTTGTGTTTATCTCATTCGAAAAATTTATGCTATTGTTATATATGTGCTCATCATAAAAAATATTTCTAGATCGGTCGTCTTGAACACAATTTCCCTTTCTTATTCACATCCACTATTTTCAATGTCCATCTGCTTTCTATGTCCCAAGTGCATCATTTGTGTTTTCATCAAGTTAATTAGTTTGCTTATTAATTCAATTGAACGAGCAATTAAATGGTTTCAAGTGTTAGAAAAGCTAGCTATCATAATTATTATTTTATTTACCAGAAACTTTATCTATACGTACGTAAAAGGTAAATAGAGAGTGGGAGGAAATTTTGTCCTTCAAAATTTTTATTTAATGCTATTACAAATAATGGTAGATAGAGAGTGGGAGGAAATTCTGTATACGAGTGATTACATATAATGGTAACCCTAATTTATTCAACTCTCAATTATAAACTCAATCTTAGAAGAAAACAAGAGTTGCAGCAATTAAGCCATGATCTTTGACAAGGACAATATTATAAAAGACTGAGAAATATAATACAATAAATTTCTTGAGTTGGCTTTAAGAAACTGGAATGTTTGAAGTTTGTTGAATGACAATTTTACAAGTGACATAATTCACAACACCCTGTTGAAAGTGATTATTTGTTGCCCCTATATTACTATTATTTAAAAAAAACGAGTTGGGTAGGTGGGGAAAGTACAAGTTTTAAAATTGGGTAGACTACACAAATATTCCAATTTAATCCTAATTTTAATTTAATTCAAGAGAAAACAAATTGTAGGAGGATTGGTGCCTGGTAAAAGGGTAGAGTTGGGGCACTGATAACTGGGTAAAGTACAGTCTATTGCACATTTTATTGTTTTCGTGTTTTTATGTGAAGATTCTGTTGGCTGCATTTCTCTTTGGATGTTTATTCAATAATTGTTTTTCATTGTGAGTTAAGTAGTTTAGACATAAGTGTTTAATCCTTATATATTTACTTGAATTTAAGAGAGCTAAGTTCACGGAAGATGTTGTTTTAATGTAGATTTTTATTAATCGAAAGTCGATGCAGACTAATTTACATGATCACACATTGTCAAAGTTCATCGATAGATCACATATTTTTATGTGTGTTATAAGAGATCTTAAATGGCTCATACTGAGGTGGAAGAGTGTTCAGTATAAAGTGCACCAGGAAAGAATCATACATTTCAACCTCGAGTGTCCTAAGTCGAGTTGCTAGATCTCACATCTTATTGATTAGGGTGTTGGCCAAAGATTTTTGATAAGTTTTGAACTATTTTTCGATACTCGTTAATAGTTCTTGTACTTTCTCATAATGTTCAATTGAGTTACGAACATCAATAGGAACCTTGGTCTTAATGAACAGAATATTGATTCGATTAGATCGCAACTTTTCATACAGAGAAAGATCAACTCGAGTGTTGGTTTCAATGATAAGAAGAATATTCTCCTTTCAAAAACTTAAAATTCTCACTAATCAATTCATGAATATTTACTCTATTATCCTACATATTCATGAGTTATAAAAATTGTAAGAAATAATGTACAGACATGTTTAATAAAAATTGAGGTACCAGTCCCTCTGGGTCGCCTGGTTACATTGCTATGTAATTAAGAATGAAGATTTCAAAGACATGGCAGGGAAAGTTTCCCATAGCTGGAGCATAAAGAGACTTCTGAAACTTAGATCCACTGCACTCCCCATTCTCAATGCAGGAACTAAAACTACTATAGATGTTTGGGAAGCTGTTAGAGAAAAAAGAAACAAAGTTAATTGGCACAAAATCATTCTCAATGCAGGAACTAAAACTACTAGAGATGTTTGGGAAGCTGTTAGAGAAAAAAGAAACAAAGTTAATTGGCACAAAATCATTTGGTTCCCTTCTCACATACCAAAATTCAGTATGATCGCTTGGATGGCCATCTTGGACAGACTTCCAACTCGGGAAAGATTGTCTCGGATGGGCATTGTCAATGATTGTAGATGTGTGCTATGTAATGAGACTAATGAAACTAGGGACCATTTATTTTCTGAATGCAGCTTTGCTAAATCACTTTGGAGCTCCATTCTTAATCTTTCTCAACTGCATGTTCCACACATGACATGGGAAGAAAAGATTTGCTGGGCTAGTAAAGAATGGAAAGGTAAATCCCTTCTTACTACAATCTTGAAACTAGCTTGGACTTCGTTCATCTACTTGATATGGGAGGAGAGAAATAGAAGAATCTACCATCGTGGCTCCAGAGAAGTCGATCAAGTTATGTCTTCCATCAAAGAGCTGGTCTGAATACAATTTAGAGGCAAAAATATCAATAGAATTGATAATGTTAATTGTATTCTATGCTATTATTGGGGCATTGACTAACCATTTTTGTTGTTAGTATTTGGTTCTCCCTTTAGGGATGTTTGTTGTAGCAACATTGCTCTTTTGGAAATAAAAGCTTACTTATCCAAAAAAAAAAAATTGAGGTACCAATACAAATTATGTAAATAATTAATCTAGTAACATAAAATTATATGTAGGTTAAATTTTAATTCGATTAGATCTATTTTATGATAGAATTATTTTTCTATTCCTTTGATAAATTATTAAATTCACTTTCATAATTCATGTGAGTAATTATGTAAAGGAATCTAATATTTTTACCTCGGTAAATTATGTAAAAGGATTTAATACCTAAGTATTTTGTATGTGATTTTTAACTTTAGATCTTGTGGCTAGTCTTTAACTAAATAAAATTATGAAAATCACTTAGCTAATTATTAATCTTAAATGTTATTCAAAATTGTTGCTAATTCATTATGCAACATCTTTTGTATATAGTTCTAATGAAATCATTATTGTAATAAAAAAATTATTTAACTAAAGTTATTGTGACTAATTCTCTAATTAAATAAAAATTATTTTGATCTCTAGACATAAATGCTATACATTCAATCATAATTTAAGCACATAAACAATTTATACAAAATATTTCTAAAATTTTCACACACAAAATTTATAAAATTTTAATTTTACTTAAATAAATCCAACAATTCTAAAGCTTACAACAAAAATTTTCAAAAGTTTAAATTCAAAATAAACATTACATCATATTTTGAGATTTTCATAATTTTAAAAACGACAAGACAGGAAAATTATGCTCATAATATCAAGTGTAAGCATACATGAAACATAAACATAGTGGAAAGGATCGGTTATAAATACCTTCAGTCATTGTCTACATCGTATATCGAAATCTGGGATACGATTATACTACCGTCAAATGCGTCAAACCACCATTGACCACCGTGAACAATCGCCGAGCACTCCAAATTTAGCTACACAAAAACTAGAATCGTCAAGGATCTTCTAAGCACTCAAAACTTCACTTAGATGATATATCAACTCCAAATACTATTAAATGAAATTGTTTGAATGAATTGATTATGATGCTTCGAGACCTTGGCTAACATCATATTTGTAGTATGGTCTTGCTATCAAAAACCACATGTGCCTTAGAACGTGGGATCACTAAAGGTGACATAACTCTCACTTACCACATTGTATGCAGTTAACAAAATGAGAGTGTCAATTGTTAGTGGCATAGTACACGGACCAACATGCAGTTTCAACGTATAAAAAATAAATAATATAATTAACTTTTTAATTATCACAAATATAGAGTAAATAATAAATAATAAAAATTTATAGGAGAGTGAGTATTATATACTAATAACATAATTTTTATAGGAGATCAATGACAGTTTCAAAAATATTTTTGAAAGTGAGTATTATATACTAATAACATAATTTTTTTCGTATGATACGGATAATAATAAAATTTCAGGGTGGACACCATCAACAAAATTAATAATTAACATAAAAATAAATTCAGATTTTAAGATAGACATGTGTCCACTTTAAGTAACACTTATGTCTGCCATTGTAGAAGATAATAATAAAATTTAATAAAATTGTTAATATTAAATTGAGAAAAGAAACAAAAATTGACGGTGTTTTTAACCTTTAATTATAGGGTAAAATATGTATTTAGTACCTAAACTATTAGTTTTGATCAATTTTAGTACCTAAACTTTTGATTTTTTTCCAAAATCATATTTAACGTTTAGTTTTTGTTTCATTTTAGTATTCTGCCGTTAAAAACTTAATGTGTTTAGTACGTAAATTATCAATTTTGGTCTATTTTAGTAATTAAACTTTCAATTTTTTTAAAAAACTTAACGTTCAGTTTTTAACAGGGGTATTAAAATGAATCAAAAACTAAATGTTAGGTATAATTTTAAAAAAATTGAAAGTTTAAATACTAAAACGAATTAAAACTGATAGTTTATATACTAAAAGCATATTTTACCCTTAATTATACAATGTGACTAGGATGGATCACATTTATAAAAATTTAAAATTATCATATATTTTAGATTTTTTTATTTATTTTCTAATAAAATTTTGTTTTGACTCTTTGTAAAATTTTATAATTTCCACCTCCTAAAATTTAAAAATTTACTTCTTAACATAAAATTTTACGGTATATTAATATGAACATAAGAGAATAGACGACAGAGCAGCCTGAGTCTCACCTATCAATCGTCCATTATTTTTCTACCAACAAAAGGAGAAAAAAAAGATTCAAATGTGTTTATCTTTTAAAAAATAGAGCTCGTTTTAAGTTTTGTTTTTATTTTTAAAAAATCATAAAATAATATTTTCGGTAATATCTTTTCTTAATCGTATATTAAGGTTGCCGTACGACAGCCTTAATATACGGTCAAGAAAAGACGCTATCTGAAATTTTATTATTTTTTTAATATTTTCAATAAAAATTACCTAAAATATTATTATTTTTACGTAAAACATTAATATTTTTTAATATTTTTGGTAAAGTGTTCAATATTAATATTTTATGTAAAAAAATAATGTTTTAAGTAGCGTTTTATCGGATATGTTAAATATTTTCTGTAAAACACCAAATAATAATATTTTTTTATAGAAATAATAACATTTTAAATAATTTTTTTATCAAAAATATTTAAATAATAATAATATTTTCAATAACATTTTTCTTTATTTATATATTAGGCTGCCGCACGTGTTGTTTTGAAAATTGAAAATGTGTTCACTTACCCGGTTCACCGTCCTCGGAATCAGTTACTTGAGAGCTTATTGTCTCGTTTCACTGAAGTACGGTGGATAGAAACAATCGTTTTTTTTAAATTTTAAATTATTATATATTTTAAATAATATTTTTATATTAATTTGTTTTTTTTCTAACATAGCATTCGTCTCATACAATCGTTTCCTAAAAATATTAAAATATTATATTTTTTTAAATATTTTTATAATTTTTATTAATAATCTTTTTTTATCTCTCTAAAATTTTATAAATTTATTCCTTATAAAATTTTATAAATTTATTCTTGTAACATAATTTTATATTTGTATCTGAATCTGAGGTGATAGTTAAAAAAAATTAAGGTGAGCTGCGGCTGTCAGATTTATTAAGCTAAAATTGTCCAAATAGAATCAAAACAAGACTTATTAATCCGAATGAAGAGACTACCAAGATGAATTTCAAAATCCAAAATCAAATCATGTGTTCTTGTTAAGAGATTCGAAATGAATTAATTTGTGTCTTTCTTTATTATCTCTCAATTGGATTTGTTTCATGAAAATAATTTAAACACAAATTAAATTTTATCATTTGAATTTATTATTTAATATCCTTTTAAAACTATTTATTTAAAATAAAAAATTTAATACTATTTTTCAATATTTTTATAACTTTTACTGGAGATAATTATTGAATATACTAAAGATGATTTTATTCCAAGTTTTTTACTTATCCTCAAGCTTGTTGTGTGTATGTTTATAGTTTAGGATTGAAGTTTTGTATTTTGAGTGGAATTGTTTGCGTTCTTTTTTAGAAACTTTGTTTAGTGTGTGACAGTTTTCTTTTTTCTTTTTATTTTATCTATATTATACTTAAGTAATAGTTGAGGATTATTTAAAGGAGAAAATAATTAAAAAATATTGTATTAGTGGTTGTGAACAAGTTTATCACGTCGGTCTTTGATTGTCATTCCTTTTAATTTGGATGGAGAGTCACAACTGGTGAAAGAACATTTGTTAGTCGATGTTTGGAGGAAGGAGATAATAGAGCATCACGAGAAATAAGAATGAGGGATAGTCGATTAGAAACGATTCATCTCATTTCTAGTATAGATTGGGGTGTTTATAGTGGACTTTAGCACGTGTATTAGTCGTAGGGTCATGATGACTATTTCTAGGCTGATCAGACCTTGGATTTCGTTCTAGTAAGTCATGTGGGTTTGTCAGGGGTCTTGCATTTGCATTATAATTAATTTAGGGGTTTGTGCTGGAGGGATACGAACTTTTAAGGACTCTAATAAGCGAAGAAATATGTATGAAGGTCAATCATTGATGAAAAAACATTTTCAAATCCGATGAGGTAGGTTTGGGAGGTTTCTGGAGGTATAGCAAGTTGCCACTTAGTTGAGGGGAATACCATAAAGTGGCTTTACCCTTGTATAAGGTATAATAACCCTTTCTTTGTTTTGTTGGGTGTTTTATAGTTAGGGAAAAATGGTTTTCGTCGGCCTTTGGCGATTCACTCCTTTTAATTTGTGCGAAGAGTCGTAGTTGGTAAGAGAATGTTCATTGGTAGATGTTTGGAGAAAGAAGAGAATAGAGCATCATGATGAGGAAAAAAGTGGGTTAACTAATTATATACGATTTTTCCCATTTTGTAGTCTAGATTGAGGGTATTTATAGTGACCTTTAATGTTTTGTCATTCGTAGAGTCATGATAGATATTTGTAGGTTGATCAGACTAGAAAGATCTAGTGATCAGTCCTTAGATTTTATCTTGGTGAGTCACGTGAGCCTATCAGGGGTCCTTATTTATGCATTGTATATGACTTGGGGGTATATAGTCAAGGGATGCGAGCTTTTAGGGAGTCCAATAAGCGGTGAGGTATGTATGAAGACCAATCGTTGATGAAGTGCTTTAAGATCTAGTGTGGTGGAAACTGTGAAGTTTTGGAGGATGTTCTCCGGAGGTATACCAAATTGTCTCCTCTTAATTGAGGAGAATGTCATAAATTGGCTTTACTCGAAATACATTGTTGAAGGTATAATGGTTTTTTTTATTGGGTGTTTTCTATTTGGGAAAAATGGTTTTTATCGATCGTGAGTGATTCACCCCTTCTGATTTGGGTAAAAAGCCACGGTCGATGAGAGAACAATTGTTGATCAATGTTTGGAGG